CACACACACACACACACACACACACACACACACACACACACACACCACAATAGAGCGGAGAGCTGCTGCACTGTTAGGAGGCAGGAATGTGCGAACTCCCCAGACGACAGGGACAATTCATGCAGGACCAGCTGAGACCACGAAGACCTCTTAGCCTCCAAGACAGCTCACTTCACCTGCTGATGAAAATGAACTCAGAAATCAGAAATCATATTCAGTGACTTCTAATTCCAGCTAATCTCATCTCAACTAACAAACAGAAACAGCTGCAGCTAAAACAATTGGTGGAGAGAAAATTAATCAGCAACTATTTTGATAATCAATTCGCTATGTTTTACAGCAGAAATGCACTGGTTCCAGCTTCTCTAATGGGGAAGTTTGCTTGTTTTCTTAGTCACTCATTCCAGGAAACTTATTATCTTTTCGATATTGGGTGAAAGAAGACGTTCAAATATGTCAGCTAGAAGAAACGATTAATGAACGAATGGAGAAAGTATAACAAACGCAGGAAGTGTGCGTCAAAGGAAAGGAGGATGATGTAATGTATCCAACATGAGCGTTTGACCGAGTACATGGGAGGAGGAGATATAGAGGGTTGAGTTACCCAGATTTATTTAAACTGCCTCGTGGCAGTGTATTAAATAATAATCTAACATGTGATTATTCAGCAAATACCCAGTGGTGGAAAGTAACTAAGTACCTTCACTCAAGTGTTGTTAAGTAAAATTTTGAGGTACTTTTACTTTATACTTTATACTTTTGGTAAAGAACATTTTGATTCCAATGAGACAGATAATCTGTGAAAAACACCAGCTTCCTATTTGAAGGTTTGATCGAAGCTCACGAGCAGACGTGTGTTTATGTCCACCTGATGAATGTACGTCCAACATTCACTCTCCTTCTAGCTCTGGTGTTTGAACTCTTAATGGAAATATCTGTCTCTTAAGCAGCTAAATGCTGCTCTTTGTTCACCAGCTAGTCTCTGGCTTTGTCTGTTTGATGCTGAGCAGCATACAGTCAGTTTTGTGGAGATCTCTCATCAACAACAGCTGCCTGCGGCTGAAATGTTGAAGTTGTGGGCTGTAAAAACAAAACAACGCGCTAAAAAGCTCAGTAAAGCTACGAGGAATTGGGTAAAAATTCACCATGAGCAACCTCTTTTATATACAAGTAGCCATGTGATCCATTGTTAATATAGCAATTTTGATTTGTGAGCTTAACATTTTAAATATATAGATTTTCCTTGTTCTTTGAGGCAGTTTGGTTTATTTCTGTTAATTATAAAGCAGTGATTTGTTCATAAATCTTCCAGAAAATAGAGAAAGAAATGCAGTTTTTGTTCTTCAGTGAGGCCTTGTTTGGTGATGCTTCTTTAAAAATCACTGAACACTTCGAAGGAGATTAATGCAGTTGAATGTGTGATTAAAAACAAAGATTGTTTTCAGATATAGTGGCAAAACTTGTGTTTGCTTTTTTAAAATATCAAACTTATTCTCAAATTGTTACCATGTGAACCGAGCCTCCTGTTAGTGCCCAGCATCTCATATCTTATCTCTGTTATTATTTGCATGGAGCACAGCTCTGTAAAAAGCTTTTTGTCCTGTGCGACAACCATCAACATACAACATATTCAAAGCTCCGAGGAGGAAAAAGGAAAATGTTTGTGTGTTTGAACGTAGATAATAATTTGCTTACATTTGGTTGCTTCGGTCGACTTTTTTGTACGAGCAAAGTTTGGATGAAGTCAGACTTCTGTATGTTTCTAGTTCCATGCATTCACCAGTTAAGATAACTCATCTGAGCCCGATAACAAACAGTCTAAAGGTTATAGAGTCAATTCACAATCTGACAGCTCAGGCAGATCTTTCAGCTTTCTGCACACTTGAGTCAAGCACTCACTCTAAATATTGACAGAAGAGTTGATCTTTGGATGTTGAGACGTGACGCCTCTTCATCCAAACAGAGGGATTTTCATCTCCTCTCGGGGTGTGAAGAGAGCCGCACGGCGAGAGGAGCGAGGCCTTGATTCTGGAGAACATGGGGTGATCTCACTTTCCAACAATGCGAGTTGCTACATCCTCCCTGGCAGCAGAGCTTCCTCTGAAATAACGGTCTCCATTCTCCTTTCATACAGCTCCTTATCATAAACTATTCGTATAAGTTAAAACCGGGGCTGCAGCACCACTGAGGGATATTTGGGGATTTTAGTCACCAACAATTGAAAGTTGTGGTGTTTTAAAGGCTGATTCTCTCATTTTTAGAGTTAATAGGTTTTAAATGTAGTAATTAAAAGGTCAAATTATATTCAGGATTCAGTATTTTGACAGTGTGGAGAGGTCTTTTAGGCAGCATGTAGTTAACTGAATCAATAAAATGTTGAAAACTACAATTAATGAGACAAATGTCTGCACTTTTTTGGAGGAGGGGTGTGGTTGCTTTGGGGAGGATTTGGACGCCTGACCTCAGTATTGCTCATTATCTGTTTGCAGCTTTGCACAAAACACACCATGACATCATAATTTCAATTTATACCCTTTCTGGTTCCTACAGATGTGCAAACACGTACCGATAAACACCTCAAAGCATGAACGTGCAGTCAAGTTTTGAGGTGTTTATCTGTGTTATTTGCACCTGGTTGAGAAACAAAACGCGTTGTCTTACCTGTGACTGTCATGTCTGCTGCTGCTGCTCGCCGTCAGAAGCTCACGTGAGATGAAACTTCGATTGAGGTTAAACGTCACGCGGAGCGACGGCAGCGGCGTCGTTCTCCTTCTCTGCATCCCATCAACTGTCCCGGCTGAAGCTCTCCTCCTCCGGATCTGAGGGTGTGTCTCCCTCCGAGCGGAATGTGGAAATACAGGTTGCAGGCGGTGTGTGTGTGTAAGTGTGTGTGTGTAGGAAAGGGTGTTAATCATGTTTGCCCATACACGCTGTTCAGTTAAAGTGCGTTTATTTGCGACTGAAGATGACAGATTTGAGTTCAGCACAAAGTTGAACCGAGCTGCTGCAGCGCTGTGACGGCAGAGCGCCCCCTGGTGGCTCAACTCACTTTATCACCAAACTGTTGCAATTAAAAAAGCATCAACATACTGTATACTTAAAACTACCCATTATGCAGAAGGGCTCATTTCAGAATAACGTATATTTTATGGTTTGATATCATTATTGATGCATTGATATGTACATCAAAATGTGAATAATGGAGCTATTTTTGGTCTGTTTTTACGAATGATATACTTTGATTGAAATGAGCTAATTAGATTTTTGATTTTTTTCTACCTCTGTGGTGTCGTTTACAAACATTACAAACTCATTTTTCAACTCCTTTGATTGTTTATTAATTTGTTTCAATTACTTTTATTTCATTGGTGAAGTTCCATTGAATTAATCAATTGCTTATAAATAAGTAAATATTTAATCATTTTAATAAATTCACTTAATTCCACATTTTCTTTCACTCGTTGCCTCATCAGCTGTCTATTGGAATTGCTAAGTTAACTTTCTCCTTTCATTGTTGTCACATCAGCCTATTTGTCATTTGCATATTTGGACTTCAGCTGTACCTCTACTGTACGACTGTTTTGTTTTCTGCATGACCAACAGATGGCAGTATTAACTAGCACTCAACTAGCTCAAAACATTCTCTAAACACACTTTCAAACACCGAAAAGATAAAATGAATAATCAAGAAGTTAATTGACAGATAATTATTTTTGATAATCTATTGATTGTTTCAGTCACTTTTCACATAAAAATGCCAAAAACATGAACTGATTTGAGTTTCTCAAATGTGAGGATTTGCTACTTTTCTTAAACAAAAATATCTTTGATATTCTGTCAAAACAAGAAATTTAAAGATGTCATCTCCGGTTTCACTTTTACAATCAGAAAAATAAAAGGGAAATTAAATGATAATGAACGTAAGTGTTAGTTGAAGCCCAAAAACGAACAAACATATACAAACAGATTTATTTATTTAGATATAAAAGACAGTTTTTTTTTACAGTCTATATACACTGTTCAATGACAATAATAAGAAAATCTCTGAATTGCTACAAAATCAGTGTAAACATTTTTTCTGGTTGTTCATTTTCTCAAAGCGCGATGAGACAGAAAAGAGTGCAGAGAACTTACTGTAAACAATGCACACCTCCCTTTCACTGAATATAACACTGATACAACAAACATGTAAAGGGACAGAAGAGACAATAATAAAAAAAGGAGATTATGTTACTGTCTTGATTGTTGTTAAGATTACACATATTGAAACATATTTGTTGGCACCTCTCAGTCCATGTAAGACAAATCACAGACGATACATTTTAGTGCAGTTTTTGTTGGTTTGCGTGTCAGTTTTAAGTCCCTGGAGTCATCCACACTGATCCATTACACAGACTGTATGTGTAGTATATTTATATACAGTCATTCAGACACTTGGTGGCAGCACTGCTACAGTTTACTGTACGCTCCGCTCTCCTGCACTTCCCTCTTGTGCAGCAGAATGCTAATGAGCAAACATCACCCATTAAAACGTAATGGTTCCCAACCTTTTTTGTCTCGTAACACCTTAAATTTAACCTACTTACACCCCCCCTTACGTTTATCTATAAGTTGAATAGAGTTGAACCAATAAGTGTTTCTCTCTTCTAACGATTCAAATTGTTTCATTTGAATTATGGACTGAAAAAAATATCTAAAGTTGAGTATAATATCTGAAACAGAACAATGGGGTGGAAGTGCTGCTGGGTCTTTGTGATGATCGCATGCAGGTGCTCTTTGGATCATTCAGGTGTACTTTGCTTATTCAATCTTGTGAAGGGCTCACTGCACAGGTGGAATACAGTCTCAAAAAAGTATCAAACGTAAGTCTCCTTCAAAGTAATCCAAGGCACACTGTGGGGTTTGTGCAAAATCAAAATGCATTTTTGCTCAGACCTTACAGTGTGCCTTGGATCATTTTGAAGAAGACTTACATTTCATACTGTTTTGAGACCGTATTCCACTCATGCAACGAGCCCTTCACAAGATTGAATAAGCAGAACTGTGTTGTTTTGTTCTTTGGTTTCTTCTTAATCATAATTCCACCCGAACAGATGTATTTATGGAGCTTAGGTTGGGAACCACTACATTATAAGATCCCATTCTGTCAAATAACATTGTTTTAACATTTCCTGGAGGCAGAATTAACCCCACTAGATATCAGTGTCAGGGCCAGAGAGCCAGCTACCTTTCAACAGATCAAACTAGCACATAAAAGCTCATAGCTCATTCTATCCAGATCACAAAGCCTGTGGTCATCTCTGAATAAAAAAAAGTCACCGCTGTTCACATTTACAATTTTACCAGATTTCCTCTTAGCCCTTAGCTCTGCCTCTAGTCAATTCTGCTTCTTTTTTGTTGCGGTACCGTTAAAGCTTCCACTGACATATTTTCTGTCAAGAACACCAATAATTCAGCCAACTTCAGCCTTGAATTAACAGTATTGTGATTGTCTGATGCATTTTGTCTTCAGGAAAACAAAAGTGATTACTGGTTCCATTTTGTTGGTTCCGGGTGGCCCATCATGAGTCCAGGTAGATGGAGTAGATCTGGTTGAGGCAGCGGTCGACGCCTCCGGCCTGGAAGAGGAAGCTGTCGTCTGAGCAGGGAGACATGGAGTAACTGCCCCCCGCCTGACCCTGCAGCTCCTGCAACAAGTCGAACCCTGAGGGGAAGAGAACAGAAAACGTATGTATATTTAGTCAGAGCTAAAAAAAAGAAAAATAATCCAAGAATCATTTTAACAATTAAACTTTAATTAGCTTGCTAATTAGGTACCTTACGTTGTGTGAGCCAGTACGGTTAAGAAAATGTACAATGAGATGTGAGTTAAAAAGACCAAGGTAACAGAAACAAAGTCTATCCTGCTAGGAAATAATAAGTCTGTACGATGTGTTGCTAGTGTCGTAATAAAGAGGCGGAAGGAGGTAAGTGGAGGCAAGTTTCTCCTTAAAGGCGTTCATGTTGCACTCAGTTGTTCACATTGAAAGTGACAGATATAGCGGAGTCAAGTTTCCCTCCAAATGTAGCGCATATTTTATCATCATTTTCAGAAAATCTGTCAACGAAAATGTGGAATGTTTCTATCCACTACTGTTGTGTGAATTTTAGGAGTTGGTTCGTCCAGATGAGCAGCTGGTGGCGCTAATGCTCCAGTCAGGTGCCATTAAACCACTGCAGAAGAAGAGGCAGCAACGAGATGATGCAATTAAAAGAGCTCCAGAGAACGGTATGTGGGGGGGAATGAAGAAAACATGACAGAAATAAAGTATTAATGCATGTTTCTTCAGTTAACTTGAGTAATGCTTAAGTCTCCTCATCGCTCCACACAAAGCTTCTGAAGCCATTTTTCGTCTCTTCAGTAGATGTTTAAGTCTCATGCTTCATGTACGTCTTGATTTATTCTCCAAGTATGTTTCCATTGTTCTTCCTCGCCTTTTGCTTTTCATCAACCACACTCAGCCAAGTGTAAAAACAGGTTTTGCAGTGTTTTACAGTTTCTTTCCTGAATTTTCATCATTTCTTCTCAGGTTGTTATTTTGAGAGGATGAGCACAATGACAGGTGGATGAAAGACACCCGGAGAGAGAACATCAAACCCAGCTTACTCTCTCACCACCACCCATCTGGCCAATCACAGCGAAGAAGCACTCTGATTGGAGCACATGGACGCCTTCGCTCTGCTGTCTTACCTGTAGAGTGAGAGGCGGAGGAGGTTGTGAAGTAACTGGCGGGTTCGAAGCCTCCGTCGCTGACTGGTTGAGCCACCTTTCCCTCTCCGTACAGACATCCTTAGAGAAACACAGAGGGAACTTCAAAAGAACAGAAGCACAAAAAAACCCGATTTGTCCCACCGATGCGTTGAGGCCGGTGATGCCGACACATGTTCTGTAGACTCTGTCCGTACCTTGCTGCTGTGAGAACACTTGTTGGTGGTTGTAGGTTTTGTGGTAGCCCTGCAGCTGGACGTCCACTCGGTCTGACGAGGAGCTCACTGCGCTGACGTTAGCGGACATGAACGACGACGATTGTCCGTTTCTGTTGGCAAAACGACACCAGGTAGCTGAGTTACTAAGTCCCCCGACATGAACATTTATGTGAGTGTGAAACATGATATATACAACCATGATGAACGTTGAAACTTGATTCATTTGTGTTTTAATTGCAGATTCTGTTGCTTCAAACATGAAAGAACGATCACCATTGCAGCCCTGGACTCACCTTTTGACTCGTTTGAGTGAAGAACTTTAGAAGGAAATTATTAGTCTTATAACAGGACTCAATCTAAACGAACAGGTCTGACATTTTTGACGTGTTTAAAACTAGGTTTGATTAACGTTTGACGCAGACATCTCGGCTCAAATCAAACCCAGAGCAAGTATTCATGCCGTTGAATCTGACAGTGTGGCAGCAGCTGTGTTATCACGTAAATACTTAAAACTCTTGTACAAACAGTGCAGTTTATACAAGGAAGCGTTTCCACCTCGAGGGGGGTAATGTAGGAGGTCTTTGTATCCATCGCTACGCTCCAAGAATGTGCTGACTGTGCACAAACACTCTGACTCAACATGGAAACGAATAAGCCAGTGGAGCCAAGTCGACAAGAAGAGAGAGCGAATATCTCTCCAAGGAGATATGTAGCTGAACCCCCCCCCCCCCTGTTGGCTCTCAGGCCTGAGAACCCTCCCCGGATGATGTACTGGACCGTATTGGTCCCCAGAGAGCAAAATGGCCTTGGTTTCTGCTGGAAGGGTTTTAGTGGGCTTCATAAACAAGCCAGGCCTTGTCAGAGATACCGATGGCTGCTGGCCCAAAGCGCCATCTATATTTTCATCTGACCGGCTATAAAAAAAGGAAATGTTTGGAGATTTCTTTACATATCTATCATTTATCATCCCCAGGTCTCTTTATCACTCATTTCCCATGTCAAATGCTATTACGTTTAAATTAACAGCCTCTGTGTTTGGTGGAGAAACCCAATAAAAGCCAAAACTAATCAGGACTTTTTGAAACCCAAACTAATATAACTTACAGATGGCTGCGGCTTTCCAATGTAATGAAGACCAGGCTTTGTATAGGATTATGTAAACAAAGTGGGCTTTGATATAGTACGACTGTTGAAATAAATGTGCCGCGATGACTGCGAGCCCCAAGAATTCAACACTTCTCTGGATTCCCCCTTCGGTGGCCCCAGAACCATCGGAGCTGACCTTAACTCTAAACAACCGCGGCTGTTCCACAGCTTACATTCTTGCGACGCTGCAACAACATAGCTGGGATGTCTGAGCCGTGCTGTGCGCGGCCCCGCTGGGTCGATCCTGTCGTTTTGTGGCCAGTGTATACCCAAAACGTCTCAGATGCATGAGCTTAACAGAGAGCCCACGCCTGAGGGAGCGACTGTCATCGCAACCTCAGGAAACTGTTCCTCTGATCATATTTTACCGGCTGAAGCCCTTCATCATTTTTCTTTTCTTTCCGACTAACTGCAGCCAGCTGCCCTCCTCGTATCTGGAATGAGAAGAATCCTGCTTGCAGAATTTAAGCTCATGTGTTTATATGCGCTTTGTGTTGTATGCAACGCTTGGCAGCACAGTTGGAGTGGATCGGAGGAGGAGATGAGTCGATTCATTACAAGGTGCCAGCTTGTGCACGCTAAACTGATCCGTTTTCAGGTTTGGCAGAGGAAAGATGCCGTGACACAGATTTACCGGATCACAGAGGATCATGTTGAATGTATGTAACACAGATGGAGATTTAATGTGATCTAAGTGCTACCAATCAAGCACTTAGAGACACTAGAGCACACTTATTGCACGTTAGAGATACGGTAAATACAAAAATGTGTGGACATGTCAAAACAGTTCAGTTAAACTGGCTATTTGGATCCGATGTCAGTCGGGGCTTCTGCAAAGTAAACTTCATTACTCCTCTTTCCTTCAAATTGTATAAGAGTGTTTCTGTGTGAGAGCCATCCCGGTTAGTGTGTCTGTATCTGATGCAGACGCTGCTCCAAAAAGCCAATCCAGCTCTTCCCGACCACAAAACACACCGACGCTGCACATCACAAATACTCGCTGATGGACAAGCCTTTAGCGCGGGGCCTCTGACTCCCTCAAGTATTAAATAATTAAAAGAAGTCGAAATGGCTCGTCTCAGCCAGAGTAAACACGTGCTTGGCTATGAGGTCAGAGCCCGATGCCGTGAAGCACAGATAATTTACTTTCACGTGTTTAATGTCTCGCTAAATCATTTGGGGGAAAAAACAAGTGCTTGTCTGGTATTGGCTTTGGCAGGTCGTCGTACTCTGCGGTCACCAGAGGGATTCTATGACATCCGCAGTGTCTATAAAAAGACGTCAATGGACAGATTGTGCAGCGCGTCATGGAAGCTCTGGCTGCAAACTTTAAGGAGATGGAGGCTGAGAGATGCTGCATTAAGGCGAGTACAGTTGTATATCCTTCAAACACAAACAGACACCCAAAGCAGAGCAACAAATTGACGGACGTACAGGTTGACTAAAATATGGCTTTGTTTGTTGAACTCCAACAACTTTAAAATGCTTAGTTTTACCCCAAAACAGGATCTTTTAAAGCCAAGACATCAGGGTGAAATCCTGCTAAAGCTAACAGAGTTGAAGCATCTTGAACTGAAAGTTCAGTCGTTATACTGTTTATTATAATGTTTTTAATGAACTTTCACCATAACTTTATATCTTTATGAAGCTCTAGCGTAAGTTCAGGCAAGAAGACTATACTCCTGCATGCCTCAGCCCGTAGTTTATTTCTCACACATCTGCGACTCCTCACGCATGCTCACTCATTATTTCCTTGCTCTTATTGTTCGGGGCTGTTGATCATGATATCAGCTGTCCAGATCAGCTATCCAGCTATCCAATAGCACAACGACACAATTACATCGTTGGCCTATCATCTTGCTGCTGTCTCTCTTAAATATGATTGTCTCTCTACCTTCAGTACGTTCATGATGCTGTTACGCAACCCTCCACTCCCCATCTCTGCCCAATCTTTGCTGATTAATCAGCACCATCAGCACCAGTGTCTGGACACCTCGGGGGGGGGGGGGGGGTTATCTTGCTGCTGCTCAGGGCAGACGCCCCTCGATTACAAATCCCCATGTTGAGTCCAATCGCCAAAGACTCTGAAGACTTTATCATCACATATCATTATCTTTTCTTATCTGACTTGTCTCTCCTGATTGAAATGCATTTTATATGCATTTGAAAAAGCACAGAATTTTCAAGATCATCCTAAACCAACAAAATAATCCTCCAACTTTCAATGATTTTCAAGTCCTGGTATAATGATGATCATATTCATCATATACATAATAACAGCATTTTTTTAAAATATCAAAACCTTTTCACTCAAGGTTCACTTACTGGAAAATATTGCATGAAGGTCATGGCTGAAAGTTTCAAAAACTGGATGAAAAGTTTAAACAAATAAATAAATCAGGCTTTCCAGAAAGTGAACTTTGCGCTAAGAATCTTTTGTCCAACTGCTGCTTCCCCGCTCAATAATAAACCTTCAAGCTTATAGTTTTGAATGTTTTGTTCAAAGAGAACAACCATATTAACTCTCCTTTTAACTCCTCTTCCAAGACCTTAAGCCCATTCAAAAACAATGATTCTTGGAAGTACTGGGGAATTTCATGGGAAACTATGTGCATTTTATGTGAAGATTTTATATCACTTATTAAATCAGGAAAATGTTATTCTGGCCCTTATCAACACTCTTTTTATTGGATGGACTGCCTTTGTTGTTACTGTTGTGCCAATAAAAGTTACTTTACGGGCAATTCTTCAATGACCAATGATTTGAGGCCATATTGTTCAGAAACTGCTGGCCTGGAGGCCCTCGGCTGTATCGTTTTCGTCTCACGTCTACTTTTATACATGGGCTAGACAAAGTTTGTCTCAGTTTACAGTACACATAAGTTCTGTGGCCTGCGACTACCCAATCAGTGCAACCACAAAGCCATAACTCCATCTCTGGTGATAATGTCTCTGGTTTATTCAAGAATGCACAAGCTCACATCAATCTCCCCGTTTCTGGGCTTGTGCTGCTTCACAGACAAGAGAGGCGAAGAAAAGTCACATCCCGACAGGGTATTCGATGGCGTCCGTGTATCCGAGGTTTGACATAGCGAACGGAGGAAGGGTTAAGCCGTTTTAAAATACTTTCATACGGACCAGATTTGTCAAATGGATAAAGATTTTGGGGCGAACACCCGAAAAATACACAGAGGAGAAGAAAACTGTGGTCAGTTTTCCCTATTTTTATCTTTCGTAGAAAATAGCTCCGGATGAAAACTGCCAAATGCAAATGAAATCTCTTTCAGCTCCATTGTATCGGATTGGCAGCAGAAGCCTCTGCAGCAGATAACTCGAATCTGTGCCAGACACCAGCAGGGGTAAGAGGGAAAATGTGGGGATTTGTTTGAGCGATTTGGATGAACTGACCATTTAAGTTTGCATCTGAAGATCATCACCATAGCAGTAGTAAAATATCCTCTTTTAAAGACATAAAAGCAATATAATTTCAAAATGCATGACAGTGAGAACATAAAAATATATATTTTGACTTTCATTGTTTACCAGCTGCATAATATGATATGAAAGGTCGTTTCATATCATGTGACATATCATGTTTCACATCAACTGTGACTTCACTCTACGAAGCAATAAGACGTGCAATAAAAAACATAGGACTTCAAAATGGAAAAAAATAAACTGCTTCTGCTTCGACATCTACTGTTGAGCTGCCCATGAGCAAGGCAAGTAACCGCCACTTGCCAGTGGTAAAACGTTTCAAGAAGCAAAGGTTCATAACAACAGCATTGCTGAAGAAGCCCATGTGTTCACCGTTTATCTAATAAATAAATAATAGACTTTGGGGCTGCAACACATTTAACTACTTAGATCTGCGTGCATTGGTCTCACACTCACCCCTCTCTCATGCTTCCTGCGCTTGTTAGTGAAGCTATGGGGCTGTTGGCGTCAAAGTTTCCCTGCAGGCCTCGGTACCTGGAGCAGGGGTCTGCTGACGGAGGGAGGAACTCAGAAGTTGCCCCGTTGTGGACGGAGCTGCAGTTTGAATACACACCTGGAGGAGAGAGAGATCTATTAAAAACAATCACTTTACTGAAAATCTAAGTTAAGCTAAAGTGGGATTAGATTAACGTATTATTAACAGCAGTTTCGGAAAAAAAACGTACCAGAACGTCCATAGAAACTTCTGAAACTTGGCTAAATACATGAGCATAAACAACGCAAGCAAGCTAAGGCCACAGCTAATGATTACTTCATTCTCCATTCCTCTGACACTTTTTTAAAGTGATTAATTTATCAATTAATAGTATATAAAATGTCAGAAGATAGTTGAAAATGTGAAAAGGTGAATTACTTGTTTTGTCTGACTAACTAAAACTGTAAAATACTTCATACAACGATATGAAAATCTAAAGAGCTGGAACTCTTTAGATTTTAATTATTACAATTCAGCACTACAGCTTTTGACAAAACTAGCGGCTAACTGCGCTAGCAAGAAACAGAGGCTGTATTTAAAAATAGTTAAGCTTCATTTTGTCAAAAATACAATTATGTTATACATGCAGAGGTGTCGTGGTTAATGCTGTGAGAGTAGTTTGACAAGTTTCTATGGACAGCTCCGGCTCCCTGCAAAGAATCAAGACACAAACTCTTCAGGGACACGTTTTAAACCTACAGGAGGTCAGTGTTAAATACTGAAAACAACGTTTTATGACGACGTTCATTTAAAGTATTAACACAAATACCAGCAGGGCTTTCAACACTTGGCTTTGAGTTTAAGGGCAGCTGATGATAGCATATGTCACCATAAATCCAGCACACACACAGTAATGTACATACGCAGGTATATACACAACAGTGAGTAACATTGGCCATTTCTGATAAGGAGTAAGTCCTCTTGGGACTTTTTCAGAATTAAACACTGACATGCTTGTTTCACCCTGAATAAACATAGCTGTTAGTGTTGCCGTTTGAGGCTTTTCCCTCAAAGTCTTCTGGGTAAAGCAGCAAGTAGTCTGAAGTAATAGACATGGACAGCTCTCCTGGACACTCTCCCCTCTCTTTTGCCAACTGAGCCTCAGTGTACCTGACAGCTTCTTGATCCTGGTTCAGCCATTGAAAGGGAAAGAAAAAGAGCTTGGCTGGAAAAGCAGGTTTGGAGAAGCTGAGGGACGAGCGGGGTGAGGGCCAACTCGCCCGCAGTCAGTGCCCGGTAATTGGACAAGGTAAACACTGGCATGATGAGCTATCATCGAAGGAATGGAGAGAGGAGGGAGAGGAAAATGAGCAAATGAGGCCATGGGAGAAAATGAAAGAGACAGCTTAACGGCCCAGGTGTTCGGGCAATTACCCTTTTCTTTGTTTTCGCTCATTTCCACAGAGGTAAACGCAGGTATCCATTTGATTTTGCTACCGTTTCATCTGTGCTCACCTGTGTATTCATCTAAGCTGGGTAAAGGTGAGCCGTTTCCTTGGTGGAGATGCTGCCTCGCCAGACAATCGCTCAAAACGTCCGATTCCAGCATTGTGTGCACCTGCACCTGTCAGACCAAACACAATTTTACATACACTGGTAAATGATAAATGTATATTTTGGTGCATTTAGTGTCATGTTTTCACGTTGGTGGGCATGTGCGGATGCCTGCCTGCATGTAGGGATGGGAGTAATTATCTTAAAGCTACAGCTTACAGTGTAGTTGTCTTCCAATTGTGTTTTGCTGTTGGGCAACACAGCTCCCATGGAGCCAAACTTTGAAATGATCTACTTCTCTTCTGATTATATACAGTAGAACAATTGAAACCACAGTGAGATTTCTGCAGGCACTTTTCTACTGTTAATTTTTCAGAGAAATGATGCTTGAACCAGATGCCTGGTTCGTGTTTTGTCTTGCGATCCAGCTCCTCGATATCCAGAAATCTTGTTAGGCAATCTTATTCCAAAATGTTCTAACAAAGTTAAGGCAGGACAATTTACTTTATTATCCAGCGTTAACAGGGGATCCCCCAGGACTTTCCAAAACACATTATGGATAGCTCCGGGACCCGCCGAGAAGCTCGCGAAGGACACCCAGGAACCACAAAAGGGGTATGAATAATCTGCGAAAAATGTGCGCCCAAACCAGTGTTTATGAAGATTCAAACTTCAATAGCTGTGACGCATCAGCTCGGGGAAAATGTATAACCGTGAGGACTTTATGAAGTGCATGTTTAATATTTCAAAGTCCTCTTTAGCCCCACAGGGTTTACTGCAGCGCAGGGCGTGTTAGCCATGTCACAACTAACAAGCACACGTGTTTCTGTTTAAACCAAACAAGCCATGGGAATACACACAAAAGCCCCAGTGTCACTAACGGGCCATAGAAAACAAACAAGGCCCAGATAATGCCGAACAATAGGCTCCCTATTCGGACTTCCAGGGAGCGTGTGTAATACTTTGTTTTTCATCCTACTGAATCATAAACATGCTGACTCTCTCCTCCTGCTGCTCTCCATCCCTTTCTCTCAGAAACGAGGGTTCTACACGCACAGACAGGGTGCTACCTAGAACCACTGAGGAACCCTGAGGTTCTGCGAAAGGAAGGAACCATTTCACTCTGCCCTGAACATTAAACGTAATTCTCCAAATGTGGAACAAACTTCCATACTGTTTCAATAATTTTGTGGCGGCTATGTTGACTGTTATCAGACGAACCTAAGAGGCGATACAAAAGTAAATACTGTTCTTCTTCCCTCTGTTGAGCGTTGATCTTCACTTCCTTTACTTTTGCTCTAGTCGACACACAATCGGGATCTCTGTCTTCTTCATTCTTCCTCACTGCTGTGCGTTCAAACATGATCTGTGATATCTAAAAGTTGTATTTCCAGCTCTAATTATCACTTCTGAGTGAACATTTTTCCCACTCAAGCAACTTGAGATATGAGCTTCTTATGATTCTTACCGCCAACATTGTTTATACTTTTGGCATTGTGTATATCTTAGATTTGAGATATGCTAATGGATATTGCATATTTGCACTTTTTCATTCTTTGTAAAGCAAAGCAGGATAAATAAAGCTCTATTTAGCTCTATCTTAACTTATCTAATTATTTATCTAATTATTATTAGTAACACTGCTTCTGCACCTATAATATCAGAGTTTGGGAAATTGATACTGAAGTTGACTATATTTTATACCCATTTATCTTTTTAAATATACTTATATATACTATATAGTATATATCTTTGAATTTGATCATTTTCATAAATAGTCATGAATTGTGGTTTTTATGTTGAATGTTATTCTTATCATGACAGAAAACTTTCTGAAACAGTATTTGCATCATTTCAAAACTGCACATAAACCAAGATTAGTAAAGATTAGGGTTAACCACTAGACGGACATGGATCGTATTTTAAAACAAAATCAAATTCCAATGAAAGTTAATATGACTTTTGTGCATTTGAGGTCAAGGAGAAAGATGACATGACCGTCAAGTTGTAAAGAAATAGTTTATGAGGGCTTTGTGGTCGCTGACCAAGTAACCGCAAAGCCACTGGTTTGAGTCCAGCGCTGTGCCTGAGTTGTGTATCATTCTCCTCTGTCCCTGTCCAATAAAAGCTTGATGCCACTAAAAGTAATACAAAGTACTTCAGAATAAAATAAAACAGTTTATATAAAGCCCTTCCACCACATCTAATCTAATATAATATAACCTAATCTATCTTTAGAAACACAGGACGGTTTTATGAAATATGTCGGTGACCAGAGAACTAATCCCTTTCTGCATTCAGCTAAATGTCCAACATGTAAGAACATAGTTGCAGTTGTTACCTTGACCTCCCTCTCCTGAAGGCCTTTGGCTGAATGAGCTTTGACGTGCTTTCGTAACGAGCTGGGATCGGTGTAACGTTTGGTGCATCCTGGGATCTGACAGGCGTACGGCTTCTGTGAACGAACAACGACAAGAAGAGTTGAAGAGGCGTGAAGAACAAAAAGAAAGAAAGAAAGAAAGAAAGAGAGAAAACTATGAGAAAGCAATACTTCAGAGTACTCTAACGTGTGTTTTCATGTTCCAAAAACACAATCTGACAAATAACATGTCCAAAACATTTCTGTGAATACAGCAAACAACAAAGTAGACCCTGAAATACACAACATTATATGTATTTTTAGGTTCACCATTGACAAAATCAGTGATGGAAGAAGTACTCAGATCTCTTACTTAAGCAAAAGTACCAATACCGCGATGTATAAGTATTCCATTACAAGTAAAAGTCCTTCATTTAAAATGCTTTGTTGCCCCCTCCAGTACTGTGTCATAATAAATATAAAAATGAGATGATTATTGGGGTAGAAAACAAAAAGTTCGGCTTCACTAATGTCAGTTTTTGGACATTTCCCTAATCTTTGATCATCTCTTTGGGTTTTAAATAATTATTTATATGGAATTTATGGATTTATATCTGAAAAGTGGTGGGGGGGGGGGGTTCATTACTGGTTTCATCTTTCACAAACTGTATTTCTTAAACTGATCATATGTTTTGTTTTTGTAACTAGTAACTATAACTGTCAAATAAATACAGAGGAGTTAAAAAGTACTTGAGAAAAAGTATTTAGTTTCTTTCCACTACTGGACAAAACAGCACCGACCGAACCCTCTATTATATACTTTATACTTTAAACCACTCATGCAAATACAGGACTTTGTAAACCAGGTCACAACATTCACCACATGATATGGTTTATGGATATGATGTATAATTGTGTTTACAAATAATAGCACAAGTTAAAACGAGTCATATCCAGATGGTTTATAGACGTGAGACTGTGAACAGTAGTCCTGTGTATGATACACACAAACACTTAGGATACATGTGGTTCCTTTACATGACATATGTACTAACAGAGAGAGAAAGGACATGAAGAGTATGTCAACATTTAACATAACGCACTCCTCAACTGAAAAATGGAGGATATTTACCGTTCGTCTGCCGGCTTTAAGAGAGGAAGAGAGAGAAGAGTTACCGAGGAACAGCTCAGATATATTTGGAGTCAATTAAGTTTTCATGAAAACTTTATGAAAGTTATTCATAAAGGTGAATTTTAGCGGTTTATGTACCAGAATCTTCTGTTCACAGGTGTTATTACCAAGAACACAATGTTAATTGAATGAATGGTTCTAAAATTCTGAGAGTTGGCAGGTTTTTAAAATAGTACAAATCATGTATTCGGTCAAAAACATAAAGAAGCAGAAGTTGCTTATTTTTTAAATAAGAAAAAGTAGGATTTGTGAGGAATATAAGAAAAACAAAAGAGAAACAAACAGTCAGTATTAATCAAAATAAAACCAAAGCTGTACTTGTTAAAGGGATGAATTTAGCAAACAGCTGCAGTGAGGAACTGCAAATGTTTAGCACACTTAAAGGCAGAAATGAATACATTTCAGATGTGCAATGACTCTAACGCAGATCTGGCATCAGAACTACTCCTCTACAGTGCCTGGCATTCAATGCTGCCAAAAATTGAGCGATATCTTGCTCTTATGGAACCGTTTCTGAACAATATTCCCTGGGAGGTGAAGAGCATAATGAAGTGTTAAACCCCACTGCCTTTGTATGCTTAATGAGTGTTTGCGTAGCGGTTGGCCGCTGCTTAAAACTAGGACATAAATTGCTGAATACACATGTCAGTGTGCAATTAGTTGTGTCAAAATTCTAGAAATAAAATTGACGGGTTGGCTGAAACAAAGCTTTTCCGTGTATGGCTGCAATTCAAGATGTTATGACTGAAATGCTTTAACGAACCAAAGTGACGAAGCAGTCAAAGTCAAATGGAAAACAATAAAATTCTGTGTTTCATTTGTCATTCCGCCTCTGATTGGTCAACATTTACCGGTTGATCTTTATTTAGAAAACCAATGCAGTCTTTAAACCGCTCACGGTAACAAATCGTGCAGAAACAGGTTTGAGGTTTGAGGTTAAGTGAGCTGTAAATTGTAGTTGAGACACGCATGCAAGAGACTGACCTCATTTTGGAAACAAATATTTCGTAACACACTATTATTTATAACATTAGTACATTAGCAACACAATACAAGATATTCAGTCGAATCTAAATAACCTGTATTGACACCAGTCCTTTCTTGGCTGGTTATGCTATATTCAGCAATTATTTACATTCAGAGACTTCTGGGACACATCTGGGGCTCAGTGATGGCGCCAGATGTGTCTGATCCTTGATTTGTGACGCAACTGCGAAGCCGCTATTAGCCAGCGTGAAACCACAAAAAGGAGAAAATGACTTTCTCCTCTTGTTGTAATAACACAGGAGTGCAACGTACAGCTCCATCTCACCCGCGTAATAAGAGATCTGGTTCGCTGGATTACTGCTAAGTCCTCGTCGCTTGTCAGCAGGAGTAAAAATAACTGTGGTTTATAGAATAAATCCACAGCAGGTATGTAGTTTCACAATCCCAAAGAATGTTCTGTGCTGTAGGCAGACAGAGCAGGAAAGAGGGGAGCAGAGGCACTTTAAATTAAAGTGAACCCCTGATTACAAACAAATACTGTATCATAAAGGAGTCTGTGTATGTAAAGCATACAGGAGATTGAGGTTTTATATATTACATTGCTTCATTTATATGTTAAAGTAAAGGCAGACATAGATGGCTTTTACATAAATGCCCCTAATGACTTGATGCAAATGTGATGGAAGATCCTCTCCTTAACAGATAATTCTGATTAAGCAGTGCACTCCTAAGAATCGAAATAGATGCAGCCGAACCAGAGATAATGTATTTTTTTATTCCACCCAATTCTTGTCAAAACCTGCCACCTACATTACCCACAATGCAACTCAACCGCTGCCACTACATCTTCAGAGGAACTCATTACTACAGCTGTCGAAAAATGTATAAAGTACAATATTTGTCTCTGAAATGCAGTGAAGTAGAAGTATAAAGCACTATAAAATAGAAATACAAGAACCTAAAACTTGTACTAAGCACAGCACTTGAATAAATATACTTACTTTCCACCGCTGGACATAAAAGAACCAAATAGGAAAGAGCCACGATACTTGCATGATATTTTTTGGTACCTGGTGCATGACAGGGAGCAATGGCTAGTTTAATTTACAGGTTTGGATTTGGGGGAAGAAGTTTTCTGTTTCCTCTCAAGTTGCATCAGTGGTGGATTTCATAACTTCTTTTGCCACAGAATCCTTAATTTATCACTCATCGCCCCCGCTTCCCCGAACCCCCTGCTGCATTCTCCCATCAGTGTCATCATTTATGGTTTTTAGGTGGCGAAATCTGCTGCCTGTGTTTTTTATAAAGGACGCCATGTGCAAAAGCAGAGAACGACAAGTCGAGACTCTCAATTGAATTCCTTAAACGCTCACCTGCTGTTCGTAAAGCTCTTTGATTTTGATATTCACTCATCCTGCGGTTGACACGAATCATCAGCTGCAAAGTCGTCGCCTAAAGCTATGGTCTTGAATGGAAAAAATGGTACCTTTTGGATTTGTGTAGATCCCAAGATTTGTTTTTCAAATTCTGCTCGTACCACTTGACCTTTTGTAATTAAGCTGTTTTCAGTTGCTGTAACTTGAAATAACTTAACTAAGCTTTCTAAGCTCTTTTTTAACTGTACAAAGCAAATATAAAGGGAAAAAAATGAATTGAAATTGACCCCTATGCAGTTTCATGGTTTATTTAATTGATTGTATTTTCTTTATGCAGTGAAAATGTCATTTAATAGATGCATTTATTACAGTGGTCTTAACCAGGTGAACAAGACAGACATTTAATCTGTCTGGAACAGATAGAAAACTCTGTTCACTGGTTTCATATTTTAAATACACTTGCGTGCTAGAATAAGGTGCTTTTTAAATGAAGAGTGTACTCTTTAAGAGGTGTGGTGGGTGGCTGCGTGTTACTGACCGTGTCCAGATGTGTGCGCTGGTGTTTGGCCCGGTCGCTGGAGTTGCTGAAGGCCTTGAGGCAGCCGGGATGCTGGCAGATGTACGGTTTCTCTCCTGTGTGGCTCCTCAGGTGGATCTTCAGGTTCTCCAGACGTGAGAACGCCTTGGAGCAGCCCTCAAACTGACAAGGAAAATACAAACAAACAGTCTTACTGCAACCTGACACAACTACCAATTGAGGAGAGTGACATATAATATAATGTAATAAAAAAGAGGTCATCTTGGATTCGAGTAAGAGTTAAAGGCAGCTTTAAAAAATAGGTCAGGGGTAAAGAGTAGAATAAAACCTAATGATGGTCAAAACATCATTTAACATGAACACTGGGCCTCCAGAGGGATGCTCAGGCAACATTTGGAACATTTTAGTTTGATGCATATTTTATATATAATGATGAATAGGGGCAAAACGCAAGGCAGTTTGAACTTCATTGGGCCTTTTAAGTATTTTACATTCATACATCCACGTGTATAAATCCTCGACTAAACTCGATTCCGGTTACAAAACAGAATTTAATTAAATTTTGAAACTTTTATCCTCTTATACAAATCATATGCAAATCACATCTGCACCTTTTAAAAGTAGGTTGGCCTGCAACTAACATGTAATAAAAATCACTTCCCCACATCCCAGATGAGTGATGTTGAAGTCTGATCCAACAAAAATAACTAGCAAAGTGGCGATATATCACACTATAAATTCATATGTTTTGGGTTATTGAATCATAAACTTCAGGTAATGGGCTTTTTCCCAAGAAGCAAATTGGAACAGAACTACACAAACACACACACACACACACACACACACACACACACACACACACACACACGCACAGACAGACACCAGACTGTGGTAAAAACGTTTCTGTTGGATTGGAGCCAAACAAGAAGTAAATATCAGAGTCAGCAGGATACACGCTGCACTCCATCAAATAAAGCTCTAAAATAAAGTGTCACATTCAATCTCACAGACTTAAAATTACAAATGTGTTCATTTCTGGCATGCAAGTCAAAGTTTAAATGGATATAGTTCTCATGTTTTGATCTAAACCTCCTGGAGCACCAACATCAAGTTAGCGAGAACGTTCAGACGATAACGGGAGAGAAGTTTCAAAAAATGTCAACGATTCGAAACGTTCTGAATTCACTTTATGTGGTAAAATCAACACAATTAGAATGTTTTCACTTTTCATTTAGGATGGAAATAAGTGTCATCTACTAACAAAGAGGATGATAGACGCAAAATAGTGGTTTACTAAAGAACAACATGACATTTAAAAAAATGCATGCCCCATGAACTTTAGAGGTATTACAATGATTAAGTTCAGATTTGTTTCCGAAAAGGATTAATACTGTTTTGCAATGAGATCCTCGTTCTGATACTAAAACCAAAATACAAGAATTCAGCGTTTCATCCTTTTAGGAAAATATGGAAATGTTTTTTCTACCCAGCAATCATTCCAGGGGTTTTATTAGGTTTCGCTAATGAGTCAGTAAATGTCAGTCACCTCGTTTACTTTAATAAGTCCGTGTATGAAAAGCACTACATCATGGTAAAATTAATCCAAGACTTGAAATCGTCTTGACAAACAACGAAATAACAAAAACAGAAATTAAAGGCAACCCATAAAAAAACAGACCAGAGGATGAAATATATAAAAGTTGGACTCGTTACGTGAACTGTGCTGACAAACTTAAACACTTCAGTTTGCGTTTTTTGAAAGGAGAAAAGATTTAATGCTCCTTCATTCTGGCTTGTCAATTCACCCCATGGCCATGGTAGTAAAAACATTAGTTTTTTTTAAATCAAAGAAATGTCACCCCACCCTTATATACATGGCTGCAAAATAGAAACAGATTTCTGAAGTCTTTGAGAGAGTAGAAATACGAGCACAGTTTTATTTAAGTTTTCTGACAGTTTGTAATTTCCTTTGTGTTTTTTAAGGACTATGTTCTCAAAACAATGTGTCCTTTATTTTTACAATAAAATTCGGAGATGAAAACAAATTCTAGGAAAATCAAGGAAACTGTACATTAATCTCAACTCTGTCTGGCGTTTAAAGAGGTTCAGGTTTATCTTGCAATTTATAGATTTAGTTTATTCCTTAAATATTCCTTCCTCCTTTTCATGTTTAACATTTTAATATGTTAAAATATTTGATTATTGAATGTATGTAATATTCAACAGCATGAAAAGTCCAAATCAACAATGTGTAGTCCATTTGTCAGTACTTTCTGACTTCCTGTCTGAGGCTCTGAGCTTCCAGCCCATTGGCTCCTACTGACAACATACTTTTTGTTTTGGGTTTTAAACCGCTCACAAATACATAGTTTCCTTTTTATATTTATTTAAAGGTTCAGTAATTTCCTTAAACACGTGGTCACTGTAGTCTTTAGCAAGCGCTACTCAAAACAGGAGAAATTATTGCATTTGTTGGGGACCATTTTCAGCTGCGGATCAATAAGATACAAATCGGTTTTATGATACGGCAACATTCTGGTTCAGGTTTGCTGAGATCTAGGCACTTAATAACACGGCTAGGTTAATTGAAAGACCATTGTTTGGGTTAAAATGACTTCAAGTTTATGGGAGCTTCCTAGTCATAGTGGCAATAATGGCTAAGGTTAGGGGACGATCTGGTAACACTTTAAAAAACTAAACGAGGACTGTTGATTGGAAACAGGAAACAAACAGCAGCCTCTCGTGTAAAAGGCAAACATTTTGATGACCCATCCATCCACCCCGACATTCCTCCTCTTTGGCGATCATAGACAACGTCATGTGACTTCCTTCTTTTCCCCCATTATAATAATTGTTATTGCTGCTAGAGGCTTTTGTCACTTGAACGTAAACACATGTTGTTGTGGGACACTTAAAAGATTGATGCCGTCATCTGTCTTTGGAGGACAGTCTTGGCGATGTATGGGGGACTGACTCATAATGAACTTTCGTGCCAATGTTCATTGTAATAAAGGAAACATGTCAGCCGGCTCAATGCTGTGCCTAAGTGATGTGCTTTCCATGATTGTTTTTAGGCAACAATGGAGCTCTATGGCACAGAGCAATAAGATCTCCATCGTGTTTGACTTAGATAATCCTAGTTAGTAAGATCATTGCTGGTTTTAGTCTTTAAATGGGATTTATTAACAGTAATATCACAAGACGTACCCTTCAAATGTATCTACACATGAATGTCACTTCATTACCATTAACTATGACTGATTACTCTACCACAGTGGATTTAAAAACGCTTTGGCAGCTCGTGTTTACAGCCTGAGTAACACCTGTGTGATCTGAGACTTGACATAACGAGCTGGTAAATGAGGCTGAATTCATTAAAACACACTGACTACATTCATATGAGAGATTCATTTTTCCATTGCTGCACTAGGAATGACTTAATATACATGTTTTGGCCTGAGCGCTTAATGAAAAATAAAATGACGTTATTGACGTCGTGAAGTGTGACTGACTGTTTTGTGTGCGTGTTGATGTTGATTTAACTTTATTAATCTGTGTGCAGGCGACTCTCCACGGTAATATATTTACAAGCTGGCAGCAGATTCGGTCCTTCAATGAGCTAATTCACTTAAGTAGGAAGCGTGCACCTGAGAGAAGATTTCTGAATGAATTATTAATCGGAGTCTCGGGTTGATGACAGTGAAGGAGTCACCGGGGAATAACGGAGAGAGTTACTCACTCCTCTGGGATTTGGAGCGGAACGTGTTCAAGCTGCGAAAGTTGCGTTTCAGGAAAACACACTGATGACGGACTCTGTGCTTGGGCTCAAAGGCCACTGTTGTGATGGTCACTGCAGAAACCTCACAGTCTCTGTCTCCTCGTGAACCGAACCTGGTCTGGTTTTGTCTTCATCTTTGTCGTAGTTTTTGTAATTATAAGATTTATAGTCCCTCACCCCTATAAACAGCCTGCACGTTTCACAAAACAAGCTGCTCAGACAGATGGAAAGCAGGAAATGTTGAAACTGTGGGAACAAACTTCACAAACTAAAATATCACATGCTACTTAAAATTATGATCCATAAGATTTCCATGTATTCAAACCCAATTATTGATAATATTTATGGTCAGCACTGTCACGTATGAATGAGAAAAGCTGCAAACTCTCACGTTTGAGAAGCTGCAACTGGAGAATATTTGACATATTTGCTTTATAAATAAATGAAACTTCAATATGTGTCTGTTAATCATCAAAATAGTTGTTTAAAGTTTATGAATAGTTGATTCATTTTCTGTCAATCAACTAATTTATAATTTGACTAGTGGTTGCAACTCTACAGTAAACCACATTGTGGTTGCTCAAGAACAAACTATTACTGACCATGTGAGTTCGTAAAAAACGATAAATCAGCTGTTCTTCCAGTATATGTTTCTGCTTCGCAGTTGTTTGTTGCCCTGAGAATTCTGGGACTTGCTTAACCGCACTTGAAGTTACCTGTGATCCCAGGTTAAACCAAATCAACCGGGACGGAAGGATTAAAACTTCATGTGCATGTTTCAGAAGGACGAGAAACTTCAAAAAGGCGGGAAAGAGCTTTCTCTGTGGGAGCATGGTTCTGACAGGAATGAGTGATTTATCAGTTTATTGCATCACTACTTAGTAACTATAAATTATTTGCATTTGTCAGAATAACCACAAGGTAATTGGCAGGTTTTTGGATGCTCAGTGCAACAGACACAACCTCCATTCATTCAACACTGCCACGTTTCTTCCTCTGGCATGCATGAGTAAGGGAAACCTGTCGTGAGGGGAGGAAACCGTTTGATCATCTCTCCGTCTAACAGACTCTTGATCAACGGCAGCACAGTCTGAGAGTCGAGACGCACCGTAAGCAGGTTAATGCCTCCCAAACCCACTTAAACCTCTAAACGGCCCATCTGAAGGCAACATAAAGTCGGACAGGATGAGATTTGTTTTGACCGACTGAAAATGGTTGCAGCAGCGTTGGCGGCGCTAAGCTGCAGACGTTGCCAGTTGGATTTCCTACATTTTTGGATATATCAGGGATGAACTCAATGAATGGGTTATGGACAATCGAAAAAAGTCTGGGATTTGTAAATAGATTTTAAGATGTAAGAGGAGCTCACATTGGTCATCACCTGGAATGTGTTCCCAAGCATGTGTCAAGGACTAAAACCAAATATTATCTAGTTTCTTTCAGCTCTCAGTTTGTCATTTACAAACTTACATATCCTGCATTTTGCTGAATACCTCAAATGAAATCCTTGTAGAGTTCTCATTCTTTGCAATGACATGAAACTTATTTTATTCAAAATGTGTGTGTGACTTTTATATATATAGTATATTTATACTTTTACTGTTTTGAAAACATAATTTATGTTCTGTTGTTGGATTGAGACCTTTTACAGCTCAATGCAGTCCATTTCAGAAATGCGTGTGATGCCACTCCTATGCTTGCAATTTGCATGTGTGTTGGTGTGTATTGGCTCTACAGCATCTCGTGGTCAGGGAAGCTTTCAAGTCATTGAAAACGGGTTGAGTTGCACCTCTCACAATTCATTAGATATTGTGAGTAACGTTGCATTGAGGGTCTCCTGATGGAGGTATTGGTATCTGACTGCTGAACATAATTGCTAAATATTTAATGTTTCTTTCTCACACAAACATGACATTTTGACTGTGTTGGAAATATATGAATGGGATTCTTTTTCTTTTAAGTCACCGCATGCCTATTGAAGCTGTTCAATGGGCAGCAGTGGAAAGCTGTCCTAGCACTGAACAAGCATGACTTGTTTTTATGTGATTCAAATTAGAACGTTATGTTTGTCTTCTCATAAAATATAATGAAAATCTGTTTATCGTGATCGAACAGACTGACTCACCATGCATTTATTAGGTTTCTCTCCAGAGTGGACCCTCATGTGGATGAGCAGCTTGTAGCGGGCGTTGAAGGGTTTGTGGCGCCGCACGCAGCCGGCCCAGAAACAGGAGAACTCTTCCCCTTTGCGCTGGTCGATGTGCACCTTCTCGATGTGCCTCACCAGCTCCTCCTGACTGCTGTAAGTGGCACTGCAGTCGATCCAGTGACATGGCTGGTCCTGCTGGTCCACGTTGGGGTCCTGGCCTACGGGGCCATTGAAACTCGGGAAATGATGTGGGGTGCCGTCCTGACCTTGGATGGGCTGGCCAGCATGGAACAGCTCCACCTGCTGGTTGTTCACTTGAAACGGTTCCCTCTTACAAGGCGAGAAATCATCCGCAGGCTCCTGTTTTATCGAGTGATACTCTTCCTGCATCTTTATTTGAAGATGAGGAGTTTTGTTGCCGCCAGGTGCATCAGACAGAGGCAAGGGAGATGCAAAAAATAAAGACGACGAGGAGGCGGAAGAGGAAAGAGAGGAAGGTGGGGAGCCGAAAGGAGGAGATGTGGCACAGCTGGTGAGCATATAGGATAAAGGGAGGGAGGGCTGTGGGTAACAACTGAACCTCTGAGTGTTGCTTTTAGGATCTGTATGCGCTGTGATGGCAAAGTCCTCCACAGTCTTTTCTAAGTGAGATCCAGCTGTCTTACAGCTGAGCAGGGAGGTGAGATCACATCCCAGCGAGGACAGGGAAGTCCTTGGAAGACAGCACACGCCCAGACCGCCTGAGTGTATCGAGGGCTGACAGAAGCCACCAGAAGACAGCGGCGCCTGAGGGTCCTCGGCATCCTCAAACACACTTCCAAAACCAGGAAGAGTCAGCTGGACGTCTGGAGGCCCGAGGTCAGGGGGCCACATCTTGGCCCCCCTCCTCTCGTTGACTTCCACCAAGAGATCCTTTCAGTAGAATCAGTGATGCTGAAACTTTAGGAATCCATTGGAGGTAAAGCCATCGACAGCGTTTTTCAGTTCTCAAATGTAATCAGATTAGGTTCATGGCATTGTCTCATTCAGCATGTGTAATCTCCTGTCATTTGTTCCAAACTGCTGCGTGGTCAGTCGTCATCTGTCGAGCTGCACTGTGGGAGACACAAACCAAACCCAGATGAGTCATCTTAAAAAGACAAACAATCAGATACAAAACACTTTCTGAAACACGTCACATTACAGCTTTGAGAACCAGCGGGTGAAGAAGTAACTAGATCCTTTACTTAAGTACATTTACCATTTACAGTCCTGCGGTCAAAATCCCTCTGAAGTGAAAGCTCCTAAGTATTATCAACAAAGTGTACTTAAAAATGGCTCCTGTGGCTGTTGTAGCTATTCAAGGTGGAGTTCAGTCCAGTGGTTCCCAACCTATAGGTATCAAGATAAACTGAGGAGAAAAAACAAAGTTCTCATACACAATTCTGTATTCATCTTTTGGACTTTTTTATTATCTTTGCTTTTCTGGGGAGGTAAAATACAAACAGTTATTAAAATGAAACCACGTGGGAAAACATGACGAAACAAGAAACAAGTGCATCGTGTTTTTTAAATTCATCATATGTTTCATACACAAGATGTATTCAACTATACCCAACAGTAAATAAAATACTTAAAATCACCTCCACCAACAGTAGGGCTGCAACTACTGATTGTTTATACTGACGATTAATCGGACAATTAGTTGTTTTGTCACATACAATGGTGAAAAATGTCAATCACTGTTTTCCTCAAATGTTCACATTTAAGAAGCTGGTATTGCTTTTTTTTACTAAGTAAAGGATCCAAGTATTTCTTCCAGCCTCTGGAGCAACAAAAGGCTTTGTACAACTTTTTTTTACATATCCAGTAGTACTCCCCACTAGCCTGTAAACAGTGTGATGTTTAAAATACCCCTTTAAGTACAGGACTTGAATAAATGTACATTATACATTCCACCACTCACTGAGGATTTTCTTTTTTTATTGCGATGCCGTAAAGCTGTGACTCAGCTGCCGTGACTATTTCCATGCCATTCTAAGGGTTGAAACCCAAGACCCAAAATGTGTCACACTGAAAGTTATTCCCTCATTTCCAGCCATTGGCACCTCTGCGTTCAGTCATTAACAACAAATGGACCAAGGTGACCAGCAGAGACGGTCCCAGATGAAGTAAAACCAAAACAAACAGCGTGTCCGACCTTCTTGTCAGCAGGCTTCAATCAAACAGCTCCGAGTGCGACGCTGCAGCGAGTGTATATTTGGTTTCCTTTGAGCTGCTGTAACAGTCGGGCCTGATTCATTACAGCGGGCATTAAGGCCACCCTCGCAGCAAACAGCCAGTCGTTGTGTGGCAGCTGATTGCCTGGAACCTGGTCCAGATGCTTGTTAACAGAAGACGAGTAATGGACCACATCTCGGTGCTAGCTATAGTCCTGCAGGACAGGGAAGCTGGAAAATAGCAGGTCAAACAGAAGCTCCCCCACCCCTGTCACACATACAGTAGCTCTACTGTGCAAGAGTCCTTGAGTGTTTATTAAAAAAGACTTGATTTCCACTGTTTTCTGCCTTCTGCCAGATATTGAAGATCATCATTTTCAACAGGATCCCCGCCACGTGCAATTAGTCATCGGAAAGATTCAATGGGATCGTTATTTTACGAGCCAGAAACCGACACAGCTAAGATGATGAGTAAGTTCACTTCTGTAGTTATATTAGCTGACGAAGGAGTCACTAAGTGTAGGTTCATGCCCAAAGTTTCCTGGTATCATCTGGTTCACAGTTTTATGACTCTTCCCGTAATCCCCCCCCCCCCCCCCCCCCACACACACACACACACCCACACCAGAGTCGTGTAGCAGAGCAGCCAGGGAACTGTGGTTGAATCTTAATTAGAGAGGTTTCGATGTGTCAACAAGTTAAACAGGATTAATGAGTCTTGTGCAGCAGAAGGTTGGGTATATTTGAAGCATGATAATTGCAACCTAGTACCTGTTGGCTTTGAGAGCTAAAACCAATATTAGAGTTTTGTGGGCAAACCGTGAGATTTCAGATGCAATAAAACCACTAGTTTCACAACAATACATCTGATAAGTAATCTCTTACTAGAACTTTTTTTAGCATCAAACCAGGACACATGTAAACATCGACTCTAACAGAGTGAAATCCAGCAGCAAATATAGCAAAAAGGGGATTTTATTTTAGCATTGTCTGTACACTTTGGTGCTAATCCAGAAAGACGAGTCAGACAGTAAAACTAAGAAAAGTGTCCCACAAAGCCTCAGCGAGCCAGCAAACTATATAAAATAGCAGGCTCATCTCATGTGGTGTCTTTTAAAGACTCACTTGCTGAGGTTAGCTAAACACAGCTGTGGCATTTTAGGACAAGCAAATGTGTACTTGTCTCAACAATAAGCACTTTGGTTCTGGAATTACAAACTTTTTTTTGTGCTTTTTGGTTTCAGCGAAACATGGGACAAAGATCCTTATTGAAGTGAGAGATGTGAATACACAGAGGAAACAGAATCCAGTTTCCTAATCCATCCTAAATAATCTTTAATGGTGTCACAGAGGCATCGGAGTGGATTTGCAGTTACAGACTTGTTAACACGGGGTCCTCATCAAAAGCTGCAAATGTGTCTGTTGCTATGAATTTAAGAATCTGGCGCTTTGTCTTATGCACATTATGCAGTATCTCATTCTTTGTGCAAAGCAGAGAAATATCAGTTCATCAGATGCATATGAACGTATCAGGGAAAACCAGCTATTTTTATTCGTTGATTATTGTTTTATAACTTCTCCTAACTAAGACCAAATCTTTGCCAGTTCACAAGAGAACTTTTTATGGATATAGTGGAAAATTATTGTCAGTCTGACCACAGAACAGCTGGTCACTCCTGCTACCACCAGCTTTTAAAACTGTACCAATCAATATTTTGATAATAGCAATGGATGAAATGAATACGCATAGTGTGAAAGATGTCGCTCGTAGTAACAAATATGTTAGCTTGTTTCGCTGCCCCCAAATGGCCAAAAAACAAACAAACAATGCCTCTGCACCTCGGTAGCTCGCAGTCTGAAAACTTTTCATCACCAAAAGCGCAAATTGCACTCAGCTGCAAAACTGCCGTGTTTGCGCTGTAATATCATCAGCAGAAAACATCTTTTGTGAATTGGAGCTTGAGACAGGGCAGTTAGCGGTTGCAAGCGATGTGTAATTCATGGTGCTATCCACTGCTGCAATCCATTCGTCACCCATCAGTCTTTAATGTACATACAGTAATCAGACATGAATTTGTATGTATGCATGAGTGCATGTACAGTTAGTTTGGTCATTTCTTTTAAAGCAGGGAGTTACTATCATATCACTAATAACAGGATCACAGAGCCATATGGAATGAGCATGATGTGTTTCCACATTTCTATGTAAATCATATGAGATTTTATGTGTTTGAGAGGGAAAATAAGTGTTGTAAATCTTAGTTGCTGGTTTTAAAAGAGCATACATTTTCTGTAGGTAGAAATACCCACAGGTGCAGTATATTTCAGGATAGGACAATATGTTTGCAAGAGAACAAACTCTCATAAATGTGGCTGGCTGACCATTAAAGAAAACCTGTGAATTACGTAACTAGTTTCACAACTGCCGCTTGTGTTTTTATAAACGACATGAGCGATCGGCATCCCAGTAGCAGAGAAAGTTGGCCGGAGGGGGAGAGTTTACACTTCTCCAGATAATTTGTGCCTCAAGGCGTTCATTTTGAAAACAGGTTAATCCTGTGAAACCAATTTTGTGGGCTATGAGTGTGCTAATAAATCGAAATTGACTCTACTTTCTGGTCATTTTCCTTTATTTATTCAGAGAAAATTGAGGGAGCACAGCCGCCTGCTTCACATTCTTACACTTACACACATTCACACCTTGGAAACTTAAAGAAAGACTACAGTTTTCTACAGGAAAACACTGTGCAGGTGGAAATTAAACAAGTAGTTTTTTTTTGTAGAAAACACTACAATAAAAACTAAATACAAGCATCGACACACATTAGTCATAGTGTCGGTGTTGGACCTGTAGCTGTGTCCCGGACAGTATTAATCACATAATAAATGTCAGGCTGTAAAATGCAATGCTTTTCTACATCTCCTCACACGACAGTAACTCGCATTAAATGGCTCTAATAGTTATGCTGGTGTTCTCACTCATCCACCACTACAGGAACATCTTTTTTTACATCAACTGGTACGAAATCCCTGCACATTTTGATCCCCACCTAGTGCACCTTATCTCCATCAGAAGACACAGAGCAAACACACACATCTTACTTATGTTACACGACTCAAAAGGAAAGCTTCACAGTCAAGGAAGTAGTGCAAAACATATATAAAAGTCATCTATTCAGATCAAACACATAGCTGAGTTGGGAGCACAATCCTGCCCGTTGTGGGATGAACAACTGGATTTTCTGTTCAAACTAGGGGGGGTGGGGGCAATTTAGGTCTGACTATTATAGGATATGCAGAGGAGTTTGTCCCTCTAAAAACAGACTGTACTTCATATGTAATATGCATGACATCTCGGCAAAGTGTTCTGTTTTTGTTACGTCTTTGGCCACCGTAAAAAATTCCCCAGCAATACGAGCTGTCAACCAGCTTCAGCTGAGCAACCTAAGCAAGAGGATCATGAGGTGGAGCCTCCTGAAACATTCATTTATACTGAGGGAAGAGGCCCAACCTGAAGCTGCTGACCTGACACTGAAAGCTGCAAGAGCTGCACAAAGACGCAGACTGTTAGATTGGAGGTGAACGACACCTTTTCTTCCTCCCAAAACAACTGAACCGAGTACAAAGTGATTCATGCAAATTATGCTGGGAACTGACTCAAGAATGTAGTCTTTCAAGCTGTTGTCAGTGGCATACCAAGAAATGACACATTAATAAGATCAACATAACTACTGTAGTCAAAAACTGTAAAATAAAACTGTTTCTAAGAGGCTATACGTGGAAGGTCATGTATCTGAAACTAAAGGAAATCTATTTGGAGATGACAAGTGCTATGAATATTAACAGTGATTGTAATGACTTATAGTTAATGGTACAGATGAACAAGAAAGCTTCAAAGACCATTTACTTCATGTTAACCTCGAGCAGGGGCTCAAACAGCTGTGGACAGTAAGGTCATGTCCAGGTGTGCCAGGAGTCTCGAGACACTAACGTCACTGAGAAGTGACACATGGCTGCAAGTTGCCTCCTCCTTTCTGAACATGACGGCTCGGTGTTCCAGTCTCATTCCTGCAGCCAAGTCTACAGAAAAAGGTGCTGATGACCATTTTTCCAGAAAGCACAAGAAAATCCCTGCAACGTCCAAGTGAGTGATCAGAAGCTGCAGCAATATACCGTGACAAAATTCAATGCCGATGCCAACGCCGCTACGTCATGTCTACATTTTGTCCAGGTGACAAAACCACTGATGACTGTGGAAACACAGCTTCAAAATGAAGGAATGTAAAACCACCACAAGACCCTATCAGAGGAGGGGATTACTCTTCCATGCCTGGTTATATTGATACTGCAGCTGGAGGCAAAGGAATGAGTGAGCAGTTGGTTTTTACCGAGGTATGTTTGGAAGTTAGCCGGCTACAACAGTTACACGATCACATCATGCACTGGTAATTTGAATGGGAATATGGTAAATGGTACTTGTACAGCGATTTTGTAGTCCTACAACCACTCAAAGCACTTTAACACTACATGTCATTCACCCATTCACACCCAGTCATACACAGGGGCTACGGGAGCAATTTGGGGTTAAGTGTCTCGCCCCAGGGACACATCGACATGCGACTAGCGGAGCTGGGGATCGAACCGCCGATCCTCTGATTGAAGGACGACCTGCTGATAGGAGAACGACACAGTCTCCTATCCGCTCTCCTATCTCTAATTCTATGGTCTGGTCACACCACACTTTTTGACAAGGAATTTTTTCCACCAAATCCAATTAATTTGAATGTAATCATCACACACTCATGAAAACAAAGGGAGAATGAGCATTTTTACTTTTACTTTTCTTTACATGCACACCTATATTCATCCTATGAGCTGCCTGCGACACGGTTTGACATCAAGTCATGCACGTGGTCAATGTGGCCACACTGAGCCAAAGACTGTTAAAATTCTCACAGCGTCTTCGCTGGTAAAAAAAATAGTTCCGTTATTTTGATAAATGTGCTCATTTGTATCATTGTGTGTTCACACTCCTATTTCCATAATACTGCAGGCTACTTCGTTTTTGTAGCCAGAGAAAAATCTTTGGCACTTCCCTGATTTGGAGAGGCAGTTTGGGTCAAAGTAAACTCAGTGGGAGCAGGTGAATAACACAGTCTCATGTTGCACAAAATAAGAACGTGTTATTGGATCACAATTCATGCATGTCGTCTTAGCAAGAGGCTTGAATTGTTAACTTTAGACACAATGACCCTCCTGGGGCTTTTCTATGGTGAGACAGTGAATTCTCCAAACAGTGCTTTTAGAAATGTGAAATCTCTCCGAGGTAACAGCAGAGTTTTTTTTTTTTCATTGTTTATTTGTACTGGATGTTCTGTCTTCAATTTTCACAGAAATGCATTTTCCTTTTCCTATGAACTAGTTTCAGAGGGAAATATTGTACATCTTATTCTTAATTTTTTTGACAGCTATAGTTTTTGGATGTGTTCATGATTGACATTTTCCATAAAAAACATAT